CCCCCTCCCCCTCATCAACCTTCGGCCGTCTTCGCTTTGTTCAGTTTGCGGCGATGCTCAACGACGTTCTAACGATATTGTATCGCCGAAAGAGAGAGAGAGAGAAACAGTGCAAGGTTCGCATCGGCGTAATTCTCTGGAAGCCCTGCGGCTCCCTGACCCTTTTAATATCCCGACAGCGAGATATATTACAGCGATCGTAAGGATCGTTCGTCTTCTCTCCACGAAACGAATAACGATACGACGGAACGCGAAATGGCGATCGCAAGAAATTCGTCGGAGAAAGTGCACGGCTAGAGTATGAGAGAGAGAGAGAGAGAGAGAGAGAGAGAGAGAAGGGGGCGGTCTCTAGCGCAAACTGACCCCGTTTAAACCATTTCGTCGAGAAATAACCTGTAGCGAGCAAAGTCGAACTCTAACGGAGCGCGCGCGGCGCTTTCATTTTCCGTCGGGCTCCTAAATACATTTCTCGCTCCGTTCCTTTTTCTCTCTAGTACAAACGCAATGACGGAATGTATCGTGCACGCGTCGCAAAACGCGCGAGGATTAAAGATTGCCCGGTCAATCGCGCACAGAATAATCATATAGAGAGCAAAGAGCGCGTTTCCATTATCGTAATTAGCTATTATTAAGCGGACACGTGTGGAATTCCACGGCTGAAACAGCGATCGGATCAAAGCGGCTTTCAGTCGATCGTACTTCTCTCTCTCTCTCTCTCTCTCTCTCTCTCTTTCTCTCTCTCTGCTTCTTTCTTTTTATTTTACATCCATACAAACGGCAGGCCGAGCGCTATCTCGAGTCGAAACTTTGACGCTCTTAAGGATAATTTGCACCTACTTAGATGGCCTGGTCTGATAAAAACCTACTTTGACAATAGTGACATTTGTTAACTTCTCTCTCTTGAACTTTTAGTTCTACAAATTTAATTTCAACGCTACATGGAGAAAAATAATTTTGCAATTGTGACGAAACCGTCGTCGCTACTGCATATTCGTTGCGACAGTTATAAAATTTAGTTGACGTAACCAAATTAGTAAATTATTCATAATCAGAGCTGAAACAGTTTTGTCGCCAAGATAGAAATTATTCTGATGAATTCATTTGTCCTCAGGACAAGTTAATTTGCTCTTAGAACAAAATAGTGTTTTCCTGCATTTATTCATTTGTTCTTACAACAAAATAATTTGTAGATTCAGCAAAATAAACTGGCAAATGGCAATTAATATTCTTGATAAATCGGTTTGGTCTAGGTAAAAACCGACAGACTTTTGTTGCGACAGCAAAAATTTGCTACGCTGGCAAGTTATTTTTCTCCGTATACCTTGAACGACCTATTTTGACGTTAAAACAGCAAAAACAAAAATTTAAGACATTATCAGAGTCAAAGTGGCAGCAAGTTATATTATTAGAATCAAAATTGAACTTACTTTGGTATTTTAGTTCCTACTCTCTTAAGTTGAATCAGTGAAAATGTCACTATTTGAATAATTGAAACAGTATTCTACCGATAATCAGTGAGTATTCATTAATTTTTAATGGAAATTCTTCCACTTAACTTTTTTGTCCAATACTTCATTGATTTTGGCCAGTGAAAAATTCACTGCAAATCACTGTTACGCGTCCCGTAGCGGAAATATATGTACATGTCGTACATGCATTCAATCATATATCGTATTTGGCGTAGTTGGCTATAATAACAGACTCAAGAGCTAAAGGTTTCGAGTTCAAGTTCCGTCAGGATAAGCATGTTTTTCAAATACGATATAAATTAAATCAATTAAACATAATTAAGAATATTTCAGGCAAAATCTATTGACAATACCTTAAGAGTGAGATTAAGATAATAAAAAAAAATAATTAATAATTTTTTTTCACTGTTTCTGTAGTTAGATTTTTTTCTGATGGAAACAGTTGCTGCTATTAATAGACTTTTGCAACGAAATTCTACTAATTTGTAGTACTATACTTATAATTATGATCACTAGTTATTGACTATTCTCAGTGATAATATACTGATCGTACTTTAGAGAGTACTGTGTTGTAAAATTAAGGATTTAACATAGGGCCAGAATCTCGACTCGGGTTATAATCTTTCTTTTTGCCTACCCGAGAGTCGAAATTTCGATGCTACTTTAATACTGTTAAGGATAGCCTGCATCTACTTAGATAGCCTATAGACTAATAAACCCCTTCTTTGACAATATAATAGCGTTTATTAATTTCTGCCTTTAATTCTACAAATTCAATTTTAACGCTACCTTAAATAACCCATTTTGGCAAAAACAGCGAAAGCTGAAATTTAAGACAACACCAGGTTCAAAGTAAAAATAAATTAGATCATTAGAATCGAAATTGCGAACCTGTTTCGCTATCTTAGTTTCCCTACTATATCGTAGAATTAAAAATTTAACGCAGAGCGAAAATTGCGACTCGAGATGTAAAATGAATGTATGGAAATTGCGGTTTGCGGCCACAAGCGCGCTCCGTCCGCTCTTTTCGGGCTTCGCCGGGCTTCCTAGGCGTTTCTCGATTCTCGGCCAGCTGCATGTCTCGGTTTGCCGGCTGCAAGTTTAACACCTGTCCGCCCGGAAACAGCCTGACAGGTTCTTCCCGGAGCGGCGTGTAGTGTTTACCTTGCGGTGTGCGCGCGAGAAAAGTGCCTTCGGGATTTCTGCATGGAGTAGTAGCGTGCAGGATTCATCATCGGCGCTCTCCTGAAGCATCTTCCTTCCCGAGATAGGTGAAATGACAGTAAAGCCTTCGCTCGAGAGAGAGAGAGGGAAAAGGAGGAGAGCGAGTCTTGTTATTGTAGTTTCTCCGTGATGACAAGAAGAGTCGCGTAACTTTAAGTCCCTTTTATTAGCAGTCGTGGTAACGTAAAACGATCGTCGTCGTCGTCGACGTCGTCGCTTCGCTGCGTCGGTCGCGACCATTATTATGCGTCGGCACGTCCCGCCGGAACGGATAATTAAAAGCGATAAGTCTCGATCTTGCCGCGTCGCCGCGCTTAATGAAACTTTGATCGAGCGCGGGCGCGATAACTTTTTGACGACGAATCACGGTGTCGTCGACGTTAATCGGTCGCATCTCGCGAACAACGAGCTATAAACGCAATATTTGTTAATTGTTAACAAAAGTTTACTGTGCCGAGCTAACTTTCGTTGATTGCACAAATATCGAACTGATAGTTGAAATACTGAAAGTACAGTATGTAAATTTACCGGATCGATGCAAAAATTTGTTTCATTCTTTTTTTAAATCAAAATATACATATAACATTTATTTATTTGAAAATCCAGTCAATAAGTTAAATATGCGCCGTTTTGTTCGATGACCTGTCATCTCTCTGATAGCTGCGTGGTCCCCCGTGCTCGTAGAAATTCTAGGATTTCCGAGCGAGGAATCGAGTAAAAAAACTGCACGAATTTTTGCATCGATCCGATAATTTGAGATATACGGAAAAAATAATGCTGGATCAATTAGAATTTCTAATAGCACGCGTAATTGGAATAAATCTTCTTAATTTAATTGTCTATCTTAATTTAATGGCGATATCATCGAAACTAATATTTTCATTATTGAAATAATACACAACGTAGTGATCTTAATGATATTTGCCATTGAATCAAGAAGATTTACTCCATTTACGTTGCTGTTGCAAATTTTTTTTCGTGTAAAAGCATTTTTTCCCGTGTATCAAGTCTACACGTACATCTTTTACCTCGTTTCATTGTCTCTTTATTGATTGTACAAACAATTTGTGTAGATGTAGTTAATTATACTTTATATGAAACTTTATAAGACACGGTAGTATCATAGTGCCGGTCCCAGGTGACCACTACCGGCATTCAACGTGTTAAACGCGAATAGCGCTACAGACGTAATAATATTTTGAAGTTTTAACGTCGATTACACCTCAACTTTAATATTATTATATTCTAGCTATATTATTACATCTCTAATAACAATAACAATTTTTATTATTATTCATGTTATTTAATATCCAAATTAAATTATTGTTATTATTATGTTATTGTTTCTTAATTTTAATAATTGCGTTTAAACTGAGGCCTGTTTTTTTCTCGCGTTACAGAGCTGGAACTCGGTACGCAATGCGTCGTCGAGATGACGGGGCAGCAAACCATCTTACAGCATCCTACCACGATGGACAAGATCGATCGGTGAGTGATTTCTGATTCTCTTTCCCCTTTCTCTTTCTCTCTCTCTTCCTTCCTTACCCGAGCTCTACGGACGATGTCCGTCGCGACGAGGAGTCGCTCGAGCGGACACGGACTTCGATTTCCGCGATCCCCGGTTGAGAGGGTGCGCTTACGTTCGAGTGCGAGATGCATCTGATTCAGCGGAGCGAAGCACAGAGCATAGCGCTCGGGAGGAATTCTTGAGAAAGAACGAGTCTTACGGCTATCATCCGTCGCGTTCGCGCGCGCCAATCGTGTAGCGATTGATAACGACGGAAGCGTGTTCACGTCGTTTGTCAGATAATTCACAATCACGCCGTGAAATGCCGTTATCGTGACTCCGATAACGTCGTCTATGCTCGATTATGGCGGCGCTCGCACGGCGTAAAATAGCCGAATCGTTGCACACTGCGAATCCGCTCTCGTCGTTCGTTACTCACCGCCCGACATCGCCGCGGGATTATATATTTCGGCATATAATAGCGCAGAGACCGAGTTGGCGCACGTTGGTCGGTGTTGGTCGTGTATTGTTTTGTTCGTGTTCACGCGAAAAAGAAAAACAGATCCGTTAGAGTAGCCGAATTCTCCGGTGGTTTCGGAAAGAATAAGAACCAGACGGAAAACTCGATCACGGGAACAGAAAGATTTCCGTAGGAGCTTTCTATCCGGCCAATTGTTCTCGGTTATTCCGTTTGTAAGCGAGTTCTAAAGCAGCCGAATGTGTGAGACGAATGCCGGTCGCGATAACGGAGATACCGTTTCTGCGTCGTAAATTTTCCGAAGACTCAGACTTTTCTCCGTATATTTGTGTTTTGCAAGAAAGGTAAAGAAAAAGAAAAGGAGTCGTGTGATGTTTCTTTTAAAAGGCCGGGAAAAATATTCGTTCACGGGGAAAATATTGTAGTAAACATTACCGCGCAAATTTCGCAACGTCGGGGGCCATGCCGGAATTATAACTGAAATTTTGATGCGTGTTGCAATCTTTAGTGAAGTACTGCATTGTATATGTCACATTAAAGATTACAACACATCATAATTTTAATCATAATTCCGGTATGTTTCCAACAAAATTGATGTGATAAGTTTTACGGGAATATTTCCTTCGTGTACATGGAGGGGACAATTCTGTTGGTATAATTCAATTTTCCGTTGCCTGAGGATCAGACGTAAACTTGGTTGTAGGAGCAGAAAAAGCATTCTGTAAGAGGTTTTTACTCAATCAATTGCTATTTTGCCAGTTTTAGTCTCAACCAAGTTTTAATGCAAGCCGAACGTTCTCAGTCGCGGTAACAGAGATATCACATTTCTTGCCACTCCGAATTTTCATTTTTTGTCACAGACATTTCATCTGGTATTCTGCTGCAGGAACAGAGTTTTTTTTCCGTGCAGCTATGTTTATATCGCAACCTAAAACCGATTTGGTAACACCCGTGCAGATACCTGCGTTTATACACGATCAGCATAAAGCTGATTTGATAATTCTCAATATTGCAACCACTAGCGTTACCTGTCGTGCAGTATATAACATAATTGTTCGCACGACATGTAACATCAGCAGTTACAACAGCGGAAATTATTAAATCGATTTTATGCCGCTCGTGTAAATGCAGACGCAGGTGTTAACTAAACCGGTTTTAGGTTGCCGTAGTGTATACGTAAGCCAGTATTCATAGACGGATTTTATATTTAAGATCGTCTTAAGTCCATCTCTTTAGATGCTGTACAAATCATTTCACTATGCCTGTTCGTTTTACTTGAAGTAGTGTTGCAGTGGAACTTCGTTCCTTTTCTTTTCACTGCTATGTTATACAGTGTCTGTCTCTATGTGCCTCATTCTTACATACATACATATATATGTACTTCTATACTTACAGTTTAAGTCAATGCAAACAAAAAAGTTTTCTACCATTTTACGAACAACCACGCAAAATTTTGAGTAATCAATTATTGAAGATGGTCGTGTACAGAGGCTTCTTTAATTAATAACTCAAAAATTTGCGTGTTATTTGTAAAATGGTACAAGACTTTTTTGTTTAGAATGGCCTAATCTATAAGTATATGACAGCTGTTGTATCTAGCGACAGACATCAGTATATTCAATCTTGAATCTCGAATTTTAAGCTTGTCGCTAGGTACAACAATCGCCGTGTACTTGTAGATTAGGCCAATCTCGTTAGGCCAATCTTCTGAGCAAAAAGTTCTTTGCCATTTTGCAAATATCCCCGCAAATTTTCGAGTTATTAATTAAAGAAGCCTCTGTATATGATCATTTGCAACAATTAATAATTCCAAATTTTGCGTGGTTGTTCGCAAAATGGTAGAGAACTTTTCTATTCACATTAACTTAAACCAGAAGGATATTCTAAACTGACTTTTATCAATAAAAGTGCCTCTAAAAGTGGCTTAGAAACTATTTGATTGGCTGAGAAGCCACATTTAAGGCACTTTTACCGATAAAAGTGAGTTCAGAATATGAACCCAATATATAGAGTGTACCAGCGTAAAAAGAAGCGTAAATATCTTTTCTGTAATATGAGAATTTTTTTTTAATAATATGAAAAATGTGTTTAGAGCATAATTTGAACGGTTTCGAAAGAAGAGTACTGTGGAAGGACAATTTTTTTACGGTCACTTTTTCGAGTTTTTAAGGTCCTCATATGGCCGCCAACATATTTTTAGGGATTCTTCTTATACTGGAATAGTATAGACGGATACACTTTTACATATAGATTGCCGTAAGCAGTAAGACTTGAGCAGTACAAAAGTTGATCATCCAATCAGTATATTTTTTTAGGTTAAGTATTCCAAAAGACGATGGAAGCAACGATAAGTTTGGCCTTAAGTAGGAGTAACTAGAACAGTTGAAATCCTAGTTACTCCTGCTTAAGGCCTAATTTATCGTCGCTTCCATCGTCTTTTGGAATACGTAAACCTAAAGAAATATACCGATTGGTTAGTCAACTTCCTTACTGCTTAAGTCAACTGTTTACGGCGATCCATGTATGAAGGTTTTTACTGACAGACACCGTGTACGCTTGTTTTACCCTAAAAATAAAAAATGCAACCTAGTTCGGCTGAAACGAATAAATCCATTGGCTACAATGCGTCTGAAGATGAACTTAAAGCAGTTTTAAATATAAGGACTATGAATACCGTAGCTCGTAGCTACTTTTCAAAAGCAACATTGTGCGATTTCTTTCCACCGATCGCTACTTTCACGACAAGTGCGCAGAGCGGAACGCATGGCCAATTAGAGCCCGAACTCTCCTACGAGCTCGGAACGATTATCGGATTATCGCACCGAGAATAGTGCGAGCACGTCGCGGCGAACGCGGCGATAACGTAAAAAGGACGTCGGACGTTGGCGTGAATGAATTAATCTCTCGGTCGATCCGTTTAACGGCTTTCTCGAGCGCGTCGGCCGCGCGCGTAGGACGAGAGAGAGCCCCGGACGGGGATCGAAACTCGAAATCGAATCTCGCGAGCCCGCTTGCGTTGCGTGCGCACCGGCCGGACGGACGGGCTTTACCGCGATCGTTTTTACAAGTGTGTTATACGATCGATGAAATGTCACGCTATTTTTACGACGCGACGACTCGACGGCGATGCCGGTGTGTATCGCGTCTTCACGCGCAGCCCGCGGGGAAACTTCCCCTGCCACCTCTGCTGCCGGTTCGTCTCGTCGATTTTTTTTTTTTTTTTTTTTTTTTNTGCCACTGATGTAACGACGCGAATCGTACGCGTGTCGCGCCCGGATCGATGGAAAGGTCGCCGGCGACGTATTTATGGGCGGTACGCAGACAGTCGTAATCGCAGGGCGCGTGTATCGATAAACTCCCGCCATTCTTCGCGTGTATACATGTATTTGTGTGTGTGTGTGTGTGTGTCATCGGAGTATCGATGGGCGCCCCTGAGCGAGTGAGTGAGTGAGTGAGTGAGTCTCCCGGTTTGAAACACGAGCCGACGAGCCGCTCGAAGATGCGATGAATGAATAAAAATCCGCTCATGGGCGCGGCGGCGAGCACAGGCGCATGAATGACGGCACCGTCCGCGACAGAACCGTCCAATTACGCAATACCGGGACGTCCGAGAGGGCCCGACGACCACAATGAGGAAGATGCACTTCCACGCGCGCCGGAAAATCGTCGGCGGCGTATCGATTCCTGGCGTCACCTCGCGACACGTCCGTGTAATCCTCCTCCGAGCGTTCGCCGAACTCCTTCCTCTCCTCTCCGAATCTCGTGGAGGCCCGCGTTTATCGAGGCTTCCGGAACGAGGAAGCTGCCGGAGAAACTCTTCGTAGTCACGGCGAACCGCTCCTCTGATCGCGCGATTTTCCCACACACTAAGGGAAAAGTATAGTTACTTTCCGCCGCAACTATAAACCTTTTCGGTTTACGACTGCAAAAATAGTGAAATACGTATATAAGTAGAAATACGCATATAAGTTTATCATCACTGACATTATAATAACTATACTGAAAAAATGGTTCTCCTGACTATTTTTTTACTGCCATGTGTATATAGTGGTGGATGGTGTATAATTATGATATTATAGTTGCGAATATACTAAATATTTTCCTCTCGGTGCAGGCTCCCGGCCAAGTCGAAATCTTAGCCTTGTGTTAAACTTTAATTCTACGACACAATAGTGTGATAAGAAGAGAAAGGAGATAGTAAAATAAGTTCAATTCGAACGATATCATTTATCTTTACTTTCACCATGTTGGTGTCTTGAATTTCTTGTTTCGCTATTATTAACGACAAAATGGGTTGTTTTACACTAGGATTTTGGATATTCAAGATTCAAGAGAGAAATTAATACATCACCGACATCGGTTGGATAAAATCCTTTTTTTTTTATGATCTTTGATCGACCGATCAACCTAAACTTTTTATGATTCTGGAGGGAAATTATTATTTTTATAGAATAACAAACGAATGTTTGATTCAGCAAATAAGATTGTTTGGTTTCTCAAAGA